ACCGCAAAACTTTGTGGGAAATGCAAAAAACAACAACAACCGCAGCATGCGTGGCGTCCATGGATCTATAGCTCGTGTTTCAATGCCGTGTCAATGGTTATGCACGTACGTGCGCGGAATAACATGTGCGGCGGCAGAGGCAGTGGACAGACCCGATGTATTCGGCAAAAGCAAGAGATTAACTTTTTCCTCGGGAAGCATGTGCGGCACAGAGAGCCGCACGGAGCGGTCACGGGGACACAAGACCCTCAAACAGCTAAACCAGGAATAAAAAAACAGGATTAAACCAGGACTAACAACGAGGGACACAGTGTGAACATATTTCTCCAGCCTCATCGCCCCGTGACTGTAAACAAGGCTGCTAAGGTTGGTTAGCCCACACGACAAATATATTTATTTAGGTAAAAAAAAAAACTCAATATATATCGTTATCGACCGATATGAATGACTTATATCGTGATATAGTTTTCAGCCATATCGCCCAGCCCTAGTCAGGCTACATTTGGAGGCAGTTTGAGCAGTAAATGTGTCTCCAGAGCTGACAGAGACCATGTGGAGGGTCCTAGCAGCAGACCATGTGGAGGGTCAGGACAGCAGACCAGTGGAGCACCTCAAAAAAGCCACAGAAAAGTGGACTATTGCTAAAATTATCACTGAGTCCACACCAGGAGCCAGCAGCAAAGTCCAGATATGTTCACAGCGCACGCCGGACTAAACAGACGCTCTGTAGATGTAACCACACAAAAACACACAAACGCGTGCATAAACGCACATACATGCACGCCCAAACACACAAAGACACACAGCAGTATTCTGTTGCACTTATACTATAAGTATAAGTATTCACTTTGATTTATTGTCATGTATAGTGTTTATCATTGTAATTTTGTTATTCTTTGATTTACTCTTATTGACATAAATATAGTGCCACCTAATGGATGAATACTGGCCATTCTATCTGGCATAGTTTGTCATGGGCTCTACTTTCAATATGAACATTTTTTGGATGAGTACATTTTGAAATTTTTGAGCAACACTTTGTGTGTGTGCCATAAAACTTATTATTTTACATTAAAAACACTTTCTCAAAACGTGTTGCTGTTTTCTAACATGTAAGATCCTGGACATGTTTGAGGAGATGCTACAGTTAAACTAAATAGTTTTACAATCACTTTTCTGCAGTTCGTCTGTTTTCACAAAAACCTAATTTTCTAATTTTTTTGTCTAAGACTGGTGCTTTTTGTCACACTCTCCTCTTTTCGACTGGAGATCACAGGAGAACGAAACAAACTAAGAACAAACCTCTTTTTGCTGCTGAAAGTAGACAGTCCTGTCTTTCAGACTCTGGTTTCATATTTTTCATAGCACACAATATTCTGAGAGTCTTAAAAATCAGTGAAGTCATCAAAAAATGGCTGGCAGTCAATGAGAACCTCTTTTTCGTGTACAAAAATTACATAAAATTATAAAACAGTCACATACAGATGATAAAATAGTCACATACAGATTATACAACAGTAACACACAATTTCATAAAAATACGGATTATAAAAACAGTTACATTTCACTGAAGATGTCTCAATCTGGATCTAAAAGCATTCAAGGAAATAAGATCAGATCATTTCTAGTCTTTTTGCAACACGTTCCATGTAGAAGGAGCAGGTTTTTTTTTCCCAGTTCTGTGCAAAAGGAACAGAGAGTAACAAACGATCATTTGATCCAAACCATGAGAACATGTCTCTGTGAGTAAACGACAGATGTAAGAGGGCAGCAGAGCAAGCCTTAGAAACTAAAGTGCACCAGTGTCCAAACCTTCTGTGGACAAAGATCCCACTCCAGAATATCACTCACAGTGAGGCTTTGCAGTTCGCAATGAATGAAACATTTAAAACAATTTTTTTTCCTATATTTAAGCGCAGTCTTACTGTTGAAACTGTGTAAAATATTACATTAAATATACTTCTTTAGGAATGAAACCTCTGCCTTGTTATTGATGAATACTTCGGCTTACTACGCTACTGTGTGGTGTGGTCATTTGTGGTGGTACTTGGAGAGGCAAGTATTTTCTAAGGGGGTACTTGGTGTGAAAAGTTTGAGAACCACTGGTTTATTTCATACATCCCTAAATCCTCATCAATGTGACCAGTTTATTAAAACCAGACTTTCTGACAATAGAAAATAATTGTGATGAAAGCATATTAGTAGTCTATTTACATGTAACTATGAACTCATTATAGAGTTCTTACGCAGACATTTTATCAAGTCATGGTTATAATTCTAGATATTACAATAATATTGATGTTAATAATCACGATTACCACATCATTTTGACAGGAAGCCAAGCTAACAATATATTTCATGAATATTTGGTGTCAGGCTAAAGTTAAAGCAGAATAGTTTCACAAAATTAATGCGTTTACTTTGGCACCGAGCGATGTGGATAACGAGTTAATTGGATACAAATATAGTAATCAGTATAAATATTCAACACGATGTATTTACTGTCATTTTATGTTGACGGATAAAGTCTTTACAGTGTGCATTGCTATAACCTAACTATACAATGGTGGCATGTATATTACACCCTATTCACGTTTTGTTAAAAGAATGGAGTATAGACTGTGACTTAGCTAACCACACTGTAAACATGTAAACTCAGTAAACTCAAGTGTCACATTTGAATGACTTTACACCGATAATTATTACCCCAGGCACAAATTGGTGGCGGTGGACTACACTCCACCGAGTCCCCTTATGTTAACCTAGCTGCTTAGCTCTTACTAAAGTCTTTTAAGATAATCGCGTTTACCTTTTAGTGGATGACTTGAGAAAGGAAGACGCCCATGTCCTTTATGTTCCCGTCATAATGATGAAATCCAAACTTCTTCCGACTCGCTCAGCTGACTATTTGCTAACGTTAGCAGCTAAGTTAGCTAGCCGATGTTAGCTACTAGTAGACCAACTAAACTAAAAACTTTTTTGAGTGACATGCGCTCTGTATAATCTGAAAATTGTACCACGGTGATAAAAAGGTGGATGGAATGTATTACAAAAGATATACGCTGATAACCCCTGCAGTAAAACCTTTCCCGGGTCACTGTTGATGTTTCGGGTGAAACTAGTATCCAAGCACTTCAGGACGAGATCTGAGCAAAATATCGCGAGAATCCAGCCTCTACTTATAGATCCACGCTTCTTCTCCACACACCCGCACTACGTATAAGTAAAAAACCAAACACCATGAAGTTTCCGTATCCACGCGAGTAACAGTGTAGAATAATATTAATGTCATTGTTATCTCGCAATTAATCGTACAGTTTTACGGACTGGGTGCTCCACTATAGACACTTTTCTCAATCTTTCACCCTTTTTGCTGAGATTTTGGTCTGCAAAGGCTATTTTTGACTCCCATAATAAATCCATGCCCTTCCATAATAGATTAATACCCTGGACACATGTGGGATATGGCCTTTTCATGCACCTTTTTATTGCATATTTTGATTGGATTTGTTTTTTATTATAAATGCATGTTTTTATGGAAAAGTTTATTTTTATCTGTGTAATGTGTGACTGTGAGTGCAGGCCCCACCCACTAGACTGACATTGACACCGCTTACCTGTGGCGTATGAAGGACAAGTAACACTTATTGAAAAATGCTGGGAGGAGACAGAAACACAGGACAAGGGAAAATGTGGAACATGCTATTATTCAGTGTCCCAGATATAGGAACTGTAGAGAACCGTTTAAACAAGTAATGAGAAATCATAAAGTTGGATTTAATGTAAGTAATGTTTATTTATATAGCGCATTTTACAGACCAAGGTCACCCAAAGCGCTTTACAATGTTCAGAGTTCAGATATTGTTCAAATTATTCCACACACGGTGATGGAAGCTAGTTGCCGAACATACTGGCGCATCAGCCTCCAATCAACACCATCCATTCACTCACTCATTTACATTCATACCTATTGTGCATGTTTTTTTAGTGGTAGGGGAAACTGGAGCACCCGGAGGAAGCCTACGCAGACACGGGGAGAACAAACTCCACTCAGAAAGGCCCTGTTCCGACCGGGATTCGAATCCAGAACCTTCTTGCTGAGAAGCGAGAGTGCTATCCACTTAGCCACCGTGCCATACACAAACATCGGTCTGACGCAGGCAAAGTCACAGTTTTAGTCATGTTGGATCTGAGCGTTCAACACTGTCATCAATGAGATCCTCAAACAGAGGCAAGGGGACTGGCTGGCAGTGTTGTTTTTGGCAGCCGTTTTAGTTTTAGTCTTAGTCTTAGTCTTTTGGACGAAAATGCTTTTTTGTTTTAGTCACATTTTAGTCACTTGTAACTTTATAGTTTTAGTCAAGTTTTAGTCGACGAAAACACAAAAAGGTTTTAGTCAAGTTTTAGTCAATTTTAGTTAAAAAAAATAATTTTTACTCCAAAAAAGGCAGGAATAAAAACATTCTTACTTTGGCAATTGTTGCTTTATTTGAGAAATTGCTAAAATGCAATGAACAACGTGCCCAAAATATAAGCTATTGAACAAATACAGCTCTACAACTTGTGCTTCATTTTGTCTGCCAGTGCAACATCAAGATGCATATTATTTGTAAACACAAACAGCGTACAACCCTGTCCATCTTTAACTTGTGCAAACTGCAAAGTTGCAAACATTCTGAAACAAAATAATAAAAATAAATAAATAATACAGAGGTGCATTGACCATAGGTTGTTAGGAACGCATACTTGAAGTATGAAACAAAAATGACACTTGAAGTGTGTTGATTGAACATTAAAATTTATAAATCAATCCCTGAATAGTGTAAACACTGCAATTTTCTTTAAGGAAAGCAAAATAACTTACTAAATAAATAAAAACGTTGGTTTAACACAATGAATTAGAGGATGGCCCTACCTCTAGTGCAGTCTCACAGCAAGCCCAGAACAGAATATCACAGTAACATATGTAAACAAATAAATGTAATGCTCATTAAATTGGCCTACTGAGCTCGATTCAGTTTCAGGAAAGCACTTCTTTCTAAAATGACTCTTGCTCTATTACGACGGCCCCGACTGAGGTCACCTGTAATGCTAAAGACTCTCTCAGCAAATGCTTGAGATGCTGGCATGGCCAGAAGGTCTAAGGCAATAGGTTTTAGGCTCAGATACACATAATCTCCCTGTGCATCCCAAAATTCTAGGGCAGTCTCTTGGTTTGTAGGCTGTGACAACTGCTCCTTGAATTTCTTGATTTCCTCCTTGACACACGGCTTTGAGAGGGTAGACTTGGAAGGCCGGCTTGGTTTGGACAAGAATCTGAATCTGGGCCGCTTGTTATGAGGCTGCTCTTCTTTGGATTCTTCTCCCTCCTCTGGCTCGTCGTCTTCAGCCTCCTCCTCCCGTACAACTTGTGGCACCAACTGAGCAATATAATCTTCTGCTCTTCTCACAAGTGCCTCTATTTGCTCGTCATCATTTTCAAGGAGTGCTTCAGGTGCAACTGTCGGGTCAAGGAAGCATGCAGCAGCAGCGAGAGGTGAAAACTTGGAGTCAGTGTGATCAAGAAAGCAGCTGAACCTCTTGTCCAAGTTTGCCTTCATCTTAATTGCCAAGGAAGCAAGGTCCTTAAAGCTAGATCCCTGGGCTTGGGGAAACTCAGACAGGTGACCCTGCAGGTCCAGAAGGGCAGGCACCACAAGGGATAATGACTGTGTGTCACTCTGGAGCAACTGGGTATGCTCAGCGAAGGGGACGAGTAAATCTCTGAGAGTGGACAGTTTATGCCACTCACTTGATAGTAAATGGTCCCAGCTCATCCCATCCGCAACCTGAACTACTAAGTCTTTGATTTGGAGAAGCCGTGATATCATCTGATATGTGCTGGACCATCTAGTAGGGCAGTCTTTGACCAGGGTTAGTTGACACAACTGCAGCAGTCGCTCAGTTGCCACTGATGACTTGCGGAAGAGCTTAACAAGACCTCTAACTTTGCTCAGCAGTCGGTTGACACTTGTGTCTTTCTGGATCATGTTTACCACAAGTTGTAGAGTGTGTACAACGCAGGGGGTCCTACTCGTATCTATGGCTCCAAACCTAGAAGAGACAAAAATACAGGAGAAAAATAAGTTTTAAGGACAGTCAATAAAATTGCCATGAACAATTGCTAAAAAATAAATAAAAGTGACTATAACCTACAAGCATAACTCTAAATAATAAGAGTGACTGACATACTGAAAATTAACAGCAAACTGAAGTAATTTACCTCTGGTGTTCTCTAACAGCCACTTCAGTATCTTCAGGGTCACTCGTCTCGATGGATTCATCCTCGGAGCTAGTGGGCTCATCCGGTTCATTAGACTTGAATGCTGCAATCATGTTGCTTCCATTGTCAGTTATGACTGTTAGAATTTTGTGTTGTGGTATTCCCCAGTCTTCTAGGCATTGGTCAAAACAATGTTTTATACACACTGCCGTGTGTGGGTGTGCGATCTGATCAAGTCTCAACAGTATGTGCTGTGCTTTATTTACCACAGTAGTGCAAAAAAAACATGCACTAATTGCCAGAAATGAAGCTGTAAGTCCTTTTTTGGTCCATATGTCCAGTCCAATTGTTATTTTACGTGCTCTGGCAAGCCGCTCTTTGTACTTTAGTTTTTCATCATCATAAATCTTGTCAACTAAGTTGTTTATTTTTGTTCTTTTGGGTATGGTCATCCTTTTATCAAAGGTCTCAATCATGTGGATGAAATCTTCATTCTCAACTGTGCAAGCAGGTAGACCAGTGCGTCCAATCCAAAGAGCGAGCGCTTGTTCTTTGACACTTTGTTCCACAGAGTTTGACTTGTATTTGGATCCTGCGGCGAAGGCTGTTTCGATAGATGTCTGTGTCCTGTCGTTATTTGGACAACCAGGTTTCTGTATGGGGGTTCTGGTCAATGGGATCTGGATGAGGAGAAAACAAAGACAATTACTAAAAAGTACATGTGTAAAAGTCATGTCATGTGAATACAAAACAATCAAATTTGTATGTGTGTATGTATACTGTTTATTATAGTAGTAATAGTATATATAATATATATATTAAGCAGATCATCGTGTTTCAACACATTACGTTTAGAAAACAAAATGGTTTTTACTATCAAACATATTTTACATTACATGTTATGAATGTATAGTATTTCACACTTAACATATATTTTGTTGTAATTTAGAATATATTTCAAAATGATAAATCGAAGTGAAGAACAATGCAAATATATTTGGAATATATGCCACATATATTTTGACACTTTAATTATATATTTCAATCTTTTTTTTTTCTGTATGGGGAGGAACAGCAACCGGTCTGAAATGCTAATTTTCCCCTCCACAGTCACTGAAATCAAATAACAGTTTAACATAATGACGATTTACACTTCCTACACGGCCAAAATCCCTGCATGTTCAACAAATAAAAGTGACACAGACATGCTATTGACGTTAGCACAACCAAGCTAATATTAGCCTGAAGTTAGCAGCAAATTTGCACCAGTACATATATGTAAAACCTTAAGCATACAATGAAATATGTCACAAGCCAATTGTTAAGTAAAATTGAATGTATATGATATGTTAACAGCGTGACTTGTTAGTTACCTTCGAAAAAATATCCGCGTGATGAGCCTTCAGGTGCCGCTTGAGGTTGGTTGTATTCTTCCTACCTAGTTTATGGCCACATTTACCGTCGTCTCCCAATACAATGCATTCCGTTTTTCTTTCTGATGGATTATACTGAAAGTATGTCCATAAATCATCTCGTCGTTTCCGACCACCAAGCCCGTTTATTGGCGTCGCAGCCATGGTCCTTCGAAGATGCGTGGCGAGTGACTAGCCTCTCAGCATCGCCGCAGGTGTGTTGTTGTGGTGGAATCTGGTGCGCGCATGGGGCAGCCGGGTGGTGGGCGTACCCAAAACAAGGATAGCTCAAACAGAAAAGCCAGATTTCACGCAAAATGGGCAGAAATAACATGCATTGTGAACGTCAGACTTATAATAATTTTCGTTCCGTCTCGTCTTGTCAACGAAAACTCGAAAACGTCTCGTCATGTTTTAGTCACCTTAGAGCCATTTTTAGCTAGTCATCGTCGCGTTATCGTCATATAAAAAAGGGGCGTCAACGAAATCATTTCGTTATCGTCATCATTGACGAAAACAACACTGCTGGCTGGTTGTCGCTGGCTCTGACCTATGTTGGTTTAGGTCTTACCTAGAAGACAGGATATACTTGGTTAAAATAGGAAACTCAAATCCTGTCTCAAATCCTATAGCCCTTACCTGCGGAGTGTCACAGGGGTCGATCCTGGGGCCTCTTCTGTTGCCATTAGGTCAATTAATACACACAATGTAATTTACCACAATTACACTGACGACACTCAGATATATGTGTCACTGACAGCAGGTGAACATCAATCCATCAATCAATCAAATTTTATTTATAAAGCGCTTTTCATACAAAAAGTGTAACACAGAGTGCTTTACAGTTTAGTTAAAAACAATCCAACATGCCCAGCCCTAAACCCTCCTCCCCACAGACCCCCCAAAACCACATTTATAATTATATATACAACCACATGCGTATACACACACACACATATACACACACACACACACACATATACACAAGTATAAAGTCATATCAGGTAAAATAGGTAAAACAATAAAAAGAAATGGGGCTGGGAGCAGATGTAACCGGCTGAAGAAGCGTCATCCAAGGAGCCATCTGCACTAGGAGCAGAGAGCCGGCTGCAGCCACAGGGAACGACACAGGACCCAGAGGAGAGAGGGGCCCCAGACCCCACCAGGCCCAGGACTCAGACCCCATAGGACCCGGATCAGGGTTTAAAATGGTGTCGATGGTTGAAAAGAGGATTTTTGGATTATTTTTGTTCTGGCTGATTAGTTTTGCAAAGTAATTGTTCCTGTTTTTCCTGATTGTGTTGTTGTAAATTTGCTGTTGGTTTTTATATATTTCGTGATTGATTGTCGTTTTATTTTTCCTCCACCTTTGCTCTGCCACTCTGCACTCTCTTTTCATACTCCTTGCTTCCTCATTTTTCCAAGGGGCTATAGATTTTTGTTGAATGGTTACAATTTTTAATGGAGCAACCTGATCCAGTGTAGTTCTTAGTCTCCTGTTAAAATCATCTGCTATAAAATCACAGGGGGCAGGTAACCAACGGAGGAGTGTTATTTAGAATGTCAATAAAATTTGCAGCCACTTCAGGGGTTAGACGTCGTTTCTTCACAGTTCTCACAGAGGTCTCTTGTTTAACAAAACCAGTGATTTTAAAAAACACACAATAGTGGTCAGAGATAGCCAGGTCAACAACAGAGGACACACCCGCACAACATGGACCATTGGACTCACTCCTACACTGCATCCAATAGATCAGTAGTGGATGCAAAATAACTTCCTTCAGCTAAACAAAAACAAATTGAAATAATTTTGTCTTTGGTCCCCAGAAGCAAAGAGAGAGCATAATTTGTAACAGCCGCATCAAATTAGTAACTTCAGCAGCCATTTTTACCACTGGTTGCACTGGCTCAGAAAATTGACTTTAAAGCAGCTCTGCTTGTGAACAAGTATCTCCATGGCCTCGCACCAAAATAGATTAGTGACATGTTAGTGCCATATGAACCAGCCCGAACTCTGAGGAGCACAGGAAGTAGCCCTTTGCTGGTGCCCAGAGTCAGAACTAAACATGGGGAGGCAGCGTTTCAGATTTATGCAGCTAAAATCTGGAACAATCTTCCTGAAAATGTGAGGCAGGCATCTACTCTGGCAGTTTTCAAATCCAGGTTAAAAACTGCCAGTACTGCTGTGCGTACAACTGAAGGATTTTATATTTTCTCTTTTTAATGTGGCTATCTATTATTTTATTTGCGTGCGTGATGTTATTGTTTCAAGGTTTAATTACTTGGAGATTTTATTCTGTTAATAATATTTTAATATTTAAGAGTCTTCTGCTGCTGGACATCTGGATTTCTCGTACGAGGATCAATAAAGTATCCTTCTATCTAACTATATGTCTTGTGATCTTAATGTTTGTTTTTAGTTGTTTTTAAAGCGCTTTGTCTTGCTTTGAGAAGGAAAGGCGCTCTACAAATAAAAGTTGATTGATTGATTGAAAGCTATTTTCTCCGCAACAGCTTTTCCTGCAGCCACCAAATAAACAAATAAGGAAGACTGGATGTTTTTGTGTCCTCAACAACACCCCGGGTACAAGCGCATGCGTAGGTGGCGACAGACGCACGCAAACACGCGCTGTTGGAGGGAAAAGACAGGATGGCAGAGAGCCCAGGAGCCGGAGGAGTCTCAAGATGTGACACCATGGCATGGATCTATAATGCACCATGGCCATACCTTCAAAAGAACGTCATTTTAATTGAGACGAGCAAAAAGACGTACCCCAAAAGGTCCACGCACAGATCCATGATCCATGCCTGTAACACACCGAGGCTTGAAACACCGATATCTAGTGGACAAATTCAATCATTGCAGCTTCTGAATACTCCATTGACTGACTGACTCATTGATTTTCAAGACCCCCAGAATATTGTGTGCTATGACTATGTGAAATATGAAACCATATTCCGATGTTCCGCTTGTTTTGTCGTGTCAGATGAGAAAATCTGACACCATGCAGAAAAGTGATTGTAACACGATTCAATTCAACTTTAGCGTATCCTCAAACATGTTCAGTATCTTACATGCTGGATAACAGCAAAAACAACTTATGAGAAAGTGTTTTTGATACAAAATAATACGTTTTATGGCCCACACACCCACGTCCACAAAGTGTTGCATGCATATTTCAAAAAGTACTAATTCAAAAAACTTCATAATGTACATATTGATAGTAGAGCCCATGCCAAACAATGCCAGAAAAAATGGCCAGTATTCATTCATTAGGTCGCACTATATTTATATCAATAACAGTAAATCACAGAATAACAAAATTACAATGATAAACACTATGAATTACATTAAACCAAAGTGAACAGACTACATACTGTACCTATAGTATAAATGCAATAGAATACTGTTGTGTGTTTGTGTCATTCTGTTTTGTGCAGTGAGCAGTGAGTTTTGTGCAGTGAGCACTGTGTCCCCATGTATGATACAGGGGACACAGACGGAGAGGAAAATAGTGAAAAACAATAAAATGAAATAGTCAGTCAGTTTAATAATAATGACAATTTCACCATGAAACACTAACGTTGGGCTATTGTTCAATAAAAATCCAAACATATTTTAGCCTTTATCTGACTAACAGTTGTATTGATCACTTGTTTGTTTAATTGAATGTAGCTTCTACATATCATGCTACTTTTGACAGGATTGTGTAACTAAGCTTGCTACATTTGTATGGCTAGTAGATTCTGTGTAGCGAAGCTTCAGCTTTGTAGAGTAGCTTGTAGTGTAGCTCATGCCACAAATCAAGTACCTTGCCCATCACTGCTTATTGCCCTATGTAGTTTTAATCGGATTCCAACATTCAAACTCGCAGGTTTAGAAAAGATGCATGCTAAAATGTGTGCCCTGATCCCTGCTTTCTTTTATTCCCCCTCTCTCCTTGCTCTCTCTCTCTTCTTTCCCTGCGCCCCGGTCTGTTTCTGCTCTGTACAGTGGGGTGTATTAGCAGACATGAGCTGCAACATCTGGAACAGCTACAGTACGCGCCATGGAAAAGAGTTCTTCATTTTTAGGTAAGGATGTTTTCCATGCTTTTAGAAGTTAATTCAGGATTTCTCTTAAAGGGATTCCAACAATTGGAGCATAAACATTAATATTTTTTCCACTACGGATACATTACTAAACAGCTACTAGTTCAAACAAGAATTTGGGGTGTTTTGTTTCTGAAGGTCTGTTCTCACACTATGTATGCATTTGTTATTGGTCAAAGGACTGGGAAATGTTACTGCTTTGTGTAAAAAATATAATATTTAATTAGTGCTTCAAGCAGATGTCTGCGGGCGGGGTGCCCTGGAAGTACTCATACATTACCTTTTACTAATTACCAATTGGACACAAATCAGATAATGATCCAGTTGCTACTTGAGGACACAAATACTCCCTCGTCAATCTCACAAGTGTGACGGCTCCAATTGGTGAAAGTCTAAGACATCCATATATGAATTAGAGCTTTAATCATTGACTGGTATTGGCTTTAATCTAGACTGGTCTGTTCCTGAACCTGGAATATCAATAATCCACAAACCAAAGAAATTGTAAACTAAGATGAAAACTTGCAGTGATCTATTTCATAATAGATCCTCAGAATCTGCAGAATCAATACTATTTTTTCTGGCAATTTTCTCAAAATTGAATTATAATCTTTAATTATGTATTACGTACTTTCTGAGCCAATTTCTTCAGCTGTACATATAGCTCAAGTTGTTCAACAAGGTGTAATTTTTACTATGTGGTTGGTACTGCGTACCAACATTGTATATACAGTATATAAATAGTGTATAAAAAGTGGACTCATTCTTTCGATTTCTTCTTGATAACAGCATCAGCCGATCAGTCATTAATTGCCAATAAACAGACCAACAGGCCACAGGGTGGAGGTGGTGCTTTTACGCAGTGATTGTTAGTGTATTTGAGAGCACGTACATTCATTTAACCATCAATGGCCAAGCTTGTCACAGCTGCTTCTATTAGCAGCATTCATCATTAACGAACTGACGTGTCTCTGCTGTTATGTCACTTTTCTCAGAAGGTCAACTCCGACAGTGAGACCTCTTGTGAAACTTCTTTTCATCAAAACATGCATAGATGAGATGGCAAGGAGCAGTTTTTAGAAAACATTTGCATTCTGAGACACCTTGATAGGAGGTGGGGTACTTATAATCGACTTTAATGTTGTACTGTACCTTCATCATTTTCGTACTCAAAATAAACCTTTATTTGACTAGGATAAAAACTCAACCAGATTTGAAATCTCATAAACTCCTTTTATTAGTAAACTCGAGTTACCCTCATGCAAGTATTGAATGCTCCAAAAATGATTGTTTTCACTTAGCCCCAATTCCCACCACACTGCTCTATATTTAATGAGCATAATCTAAATGACAGATTTAATGGACAATAAATCCTCATGTCACAATCTGAAAATGTGAAATAAAGAGAACTTTGAGCTTTGAATAATGTTGGAAAGGAGGACAACATGAGGAAGAAGAGACCACAGCTGATTTGGCTAAAGGAATATTGTTATGGCAAAGATATAATTGTGATTAGTGATTCAAATACTGGTAATTCCATTTGGCCTCATTTAACATTTTATTTAAGGGAGATAATTGTTCCCCGTATAGTCATTTCTGTTGATCATATTCTGCATGTGATGAATCAGAAATATCCAAACTAAGTTATCTTTACATTGACTTAGTCTGACATGTATCGTTCATTGTACGTTCTTGCATCGTTTAGGCGAACAGCTGAGAATCAGATTCCATCCATCCATTCATCCATGTTCTTCCCCTTAATCCAGGCATGTCCAAACTCAGGCCCAGGGGCCAATTGCGGCCCTCAGTGTCATTTTATGTGGCCCTCTGCCTTGCTAACCCAAAGCTGTCTTTGAGAAAAGACACAAATTCACTGTGTCATCCATCCAAACTTCAGCTCATTATAGACCTTGTTCAAAAAGCCCAGTATTTTGTTAACTTTATTTGCACAAACTGTACTGACCCGGTTTTTGATTGTCACTTCCGTTAATACTGCTAATGTAGCTGGTGAGATATAAACATGTGTCATTCAGCCAACTTCAGCTCTGTAATAGATCAGCATAAAGCTCAGAACAGCCCGATGTCAGTCAAGACAGTTTTTCAGTCCGTGATGTCGGCCCCTGGACTAGTCTGGAGAACTAAAGTTCAGTCCGGCTTTAGACCCCACCACAGCACTGAGACTGCTCTCGTCAAGGTTACAAATGATATCCGGCTGAACACTGACGCAGGCAAAGTCTCAATCCTAATCCTGTTAGATCTGAGTGCTGCCTTTGACACTGTCGACCATGAGATCCTCTTACAGAGACTAGAGGACTGGGTTGGCGTCGCTGGCACCGCCCTAAGTTGGTTTAGGTCTTACCTTGAAGACAGGAAGTACTTTGTAGAGATTGGAAACCTCAGATCTCAGATCATATGGCCCTGACCTGTGGAGTCCCACAGGGGTCGATCCTGGGACCTCTTCTGTTCAATCTCTACATGCTGCCGTTAGGTCAGTTAATACGCAGAAACAAAGTGTCCTATCACAACTATGCAGACGACACTCAGATCTATGTCTCACTGACTGCAGGAGAACATGGACCAGTGGACTCACTCCTTCACTGTATCCAACAGATCAGTGAGTGGATGCAAAACAACTTCCTTCAGCTAAACGCAGACAAAACTGAAATGATTGTCTTTGGTCCCCAGAAACAAAGAGAGAGCGTCATCTGTCACCTACAGTCTCTCTCCCTAAAACCTTCAAACAAGGTCAGATATCTAGGGGTAATACTGGACTCAGACTTAAATTTTAATAGCCACATCAAATCAGTAACATCAGCAGCTTTTTACCATCTAAAAAAACATTGCCAGGATCAAAAGCATAGTGTCTAATGCAGACCTGGAGATTCTTATCCATGCATTTGTCTCCAGTAGGTTAGACTACTGCAATGGCCTGCTCACAGGTCTGTCCAAACAGGCTGTAAAACAGCTGCAGTACATTCAAAATGCAGCAGCTCGAGTCCTGACTTGAACCAGGAAGTACGACCACATTAGTCCAGTCCTCAGGTCCCTGCACTGGCTTCCTGTGGCTCAGAGAATAGACTTTAAAACAGCTCTGCTTGTTACAAGTCTCTCCATGGCCTCGCACCAACATATATTAGTGACATGTTAGTACCATACGAACCAGCCCGGACTCTGAGGAGCACAGGGACTGGACTCCTGTTAGTGCCCAGAGTCAGAACTAAACATGGGGAGGCTGCTTTTCAGATTCATGCTGCCAAAATCTGGAACAATCTTCCTGAAGATGTGAGACAGGCCTCCTCTCTGACAATGTTTAAAGCCAAGTTAAAAACGGTGCTGTTTAGCTGTGCATACAACTGAGGGATTTTATATTTTTATCTTTCGTTTTAATGTTCTGTGATTATTTATGATTTTAATGCTATCTTGTTCAGCACTTTGAGTTGCCTTGTGTATGAATTGTGCTATACAAATAAACTTGCCTTGCCTTGCCTTGCCTTGCCCTCTTACCAAAAAGTCTTAATCCATTTCTGGGTCAGGGAGGTGGCAATCAGCTGCTTCCCAGCTACAATATCTTAATTCATAATTTGCAATCTCTATAATAAAAAAATGACTTTTGTTATGGTTAGAGTTAACTCCTTGACTTAATTTTACAGTCCTATCATTTCTGTTCCTTTCAGCAAATGAATGAGTGCAACACAGTGCGGTAAATATGTATGTGTTGGAACTGCCTCCTGCACTCACTGTATTAAGTTAGAATAGTGTTGTGTCACAAGAACTTCTCTTGTTCTGGTGAAGGTAAACCCATGTCAGGTCTTGCTATCTCATAGCAGTCAGACAGAATATTAATGAGGAGGCTTGTGTTTGAGACAATAGTCCTGATTTATGCTTTATAGTCCCGTAGTGTTGACTGGTCAGGATTTGTTGTGGGTGCCAGGTCTGGGTGAAATACCTGCCGTGACGTGACAGCTGAGGGGGTCCATGGGCAGCAGGTGTGACAGGGTTGCTCGGCTGTCCGCATCTTTTTGTCATTTCTCATTATTAACCTCACACACATCTGGCTGTATTATATGGATGCCACAACCATTTTGATGGAATACTCCATGAGCCTAAGGTGCATTAGTGACACATATCTTAATAACTTAACAGTTGCCATTTTGTAAGAAGCCAGTACTGCATAAATGACAAATACACACAATATACAGAACACTATCACGTTTAGTAGGGCTTTTAAACCTTATTTTAGAGTTTCCTAATAAACAATATGTTGGCCAATTCAGCCTTAACTTTTGCCAACTCTTTAATTCTTTGGCTGGGCCGTTGATATCTGCTGGCTATTTTCGTTGTCCTGCTATTCTTTGGTGCTGCTCCACGAAACAGTATCCACTATGGTAATTTGCTTTACGTAAAATATTTTGAATCTACACTCTTACTGGGAGCTTAATGTGCCTATCAAGTATTACACTGCACTCAGTTCACAATTCACCTTAATGAAGTCATTCATTTAGGCTGCTGAAAAGACAAAGTATTACAAATTGTCAAGCATTGTCCTCATTTCTTTGTTTCCAACGTTAATGTAATTTTTAGACACAAAAGATTAGTTATCTTAATAATACATATTATATGTTATGCACGTACACACATATGCATATATTTGTATATATTTTTTACAAAAGTTTATGTTGTTATGTTCCTCTATTTTCTCCTCCTTGTCATGAAGTCCTCATCTCTAAATCTCAGTATGTTTATGTTGGCACATAGTGGACTGCTCACGATTAGAAGTCTTTTTTTTTTTAACGGCTTCTGCTATCACTCTGTACTGCAGCAATCTCAATGAACCATGGCGCATAGGGAACTATAAACTACACATCATGCTGCTAACTAAAAGCTGAGAGCTCTGTAAGGCTGAAACATTGGCAACACCCAGTTAATTTGGATTGTGTAGATTTACACACAATTATTGTTGTTGATGTTACTGAGGAGTCTGTTTTATTTTTAAAACCTTTTTTGTTCTATATAGTAAAATCTATTCTAGTTATAGTTTTGTTTTTTATAATCATAAGAAACATATAAGATATGAATGAGCAGAACAGTTTCAGCTTCAAATAAAAGACTTCTGTAGTTAACATTATGCTTTATTCTTTCAGCACTATGCTGACATCCTGTGCAGGCTTCAGATCATGCTGGAATTGGGCTCTCAGGCTGTGACTGGGGACCACAATGCTCTGGGGCTGCCTGGAGCTCCAGCCGGGACTGAGTGCTGGGCAATGCGTGGCAGCAGCACCCCCAGGCTCCTGCAGCCCCCTGCCCCAGACTGTGAGAGCTGGCAGAAGCATCGTGCTGGACTGGCCTGTGGTTCCAGCTATGACACTATCTACCTCCCACAAATGCCCCAGGTTGTACCCCCAAGCCGTCTGGGGCTAGCTCTGGATGTGACCCCCTCTTTTGATGCGAGGGCTGGGATGTTGGGAGGAGATGGAGATCTGGCTGTTAGCCCCAATGTGATGAAGAGACGAAGAGGTGGCCTCATCGAGCAGCGGGACATCGTCAGAGCCCACCAGGCTCACAAGATTCACAGCACACCGCAGGCCCGGCGCAAGGAGTGGGAGTGAGTATTCTCCTCATAATATAGTTTCATTAACACACGAACCTCCATGTGTTTAAATATGTATCATTCATTTCCTTTTCTGCTCTGCTGCAATTGAGGTATTTTCAGTGTTATAGCGTTTGGTTAAAAAACCGTAAGATACAATAAGAGCAAGAGTGCAATGGATATTAGTTGTACATTGACGAGCCTTTCCACTTCATTTAGTTACTTTCTCACTTTTACAGAGAGAATGTGATAGCATGCTATTATGATACCATTTGATTACAAACAAGGGAAACTGTGGTCCTCAATCACTCTCTCACAAGATCATCTGCTGAGCTATCAACTGAAAAGATGTAACTTGCTTAATGTATCTCTTTTCATACTAGCAATGGAAGATCATTTGATTTCCATATTGTTTTTTATATTCACACCAAAACAACTATATGCATAAAACTCTAGATGCCTTTGAAGTATTTATATTTCCTTTTGAGATTGCTAGATGTTTGCTGAATGGTGAATTGTTGTTACATTGAGTGTAATCTAATAATCTCAGTATTTTTACAGCTGTTCGGTGATGGCCTCAGGTTTGTTAAGAGATTATTGGTCACTAAACAGCACTAAACAGCAAATCCATCACCCGAAAAATGAAAGAGTGTCACAACTGCAAACTGAACTGAGTAGTCAAGAGGCCCATGGTAGAGAAGCTGCAGAGATCCACGCCTCACCTGTGGTAATCTGTACATGGGAAATATTACTCCTTCTAGCTAATAGAAACCCATTGTTGAAACAAAGTCGCAAGAACAAGATGAGAATAAATTATGGAAAAGTTCATGGTGTATGAGTATGTTTTTCAAGGTACTGTATGTGAATGTACTTGGGCAAGACACATTTTGACAAGTTGATAGTTGGGAGAAATGGGCAGATATGTTTTTCACTGTGGTATAAACTAGGCAGAACTGAAGTGTGAGTGCATTGCTGGCTCCATTCCCTGTGGTGCGGTGGAATTTCTAACAGTTGCCTCCCCCTGTTTCTCTGCTGTGTCTGTGGCTTCACCTCCAGTGTCAGGACCCCCCTTTGTGTTGCTACACTCTTCCCATTTTCCTCCCAACCCCAGGTACACTGAAACATCTATGTTCGTGAGAAGATAGACAATGAACTAATAGTGATGTTGGCAAATATCTGTATGGTTTGAGATAGCATGCTGAAATGAAAGCATGCTGACCAGATGAATTAGAGCCGCCTCAGGGCCACAAGTGCTGTGACAGGAGGTGGAAATCAAATGTTGCACTTGAGAAAATCTTTGCACCTGCTCCTGTTTTGTCAGAGGAAATAAGACTACAGCAGCGTCAGTATAAGCAGGTGCAGCAAGTTGCAGAGAAACAAAAGGAAACCTGTGTGGTGTGTACGTGTGGTAAAAAAAAAAGTTGCAAAAGTAGTCTCCTGGAAGAAGTTTATTGTGTATGTATTTATTTATTTGCATTTGGGATAATGCAATCATTGTCAATCATAGTTACAAAACAAAGCTTGCAGTTTATTTGATGCATACAGAGGTTATAGCAGATGGTTATTTACAATTCCTGTCCCTTATTATACTTTTCTACACAAACAAATAAAAAAATTATAGTAAATAATCATTCTTTATATACCAACTTTTCACTGCAGATCAGAGTCTCAAAGCGGTTTACAATTGTTATTATTGGGCATTTGTCTTCTCACTCCACTCAGAGATGGGAGCGGGGGCGCCAGTACAAGAGGCTCATGCCAGACCTACAGTACAGGTTTTTAGTGGTAGGGGAAACTGGAGAACCCGGGGGAAATACGCAGACACGGGGAGAACATGCAAACTCCACTCAGAAAGGCCCTGGTCCAACCGGGATTCGAACCAAGGACCTTCTTGCTGAGAGGCGAGAGTACTATCCACTCAGCGATCCCTGCCCGTTATACTGATGTTGATAATACTTTTGGGGTTTAACATCAAATTCCATGCCCCATTCAGAAGCCACTATCAAATCTTGACTGGATAATGTATGCTTTTTCGGGAAATTCTAGATGACCATAACATATTGTATTGACCCATTTTGATTATTTTGCAAGTATTTCCCTGACCAAATGCAAAATAAGATGTCATCTTGCTGACAGGCTGGATGCATGCAGATACAAGCATGTTCTAGTGTCAGATCTGTAGGGATGTAATTTCTCAGCGCTGACAACACAGAACGCTCTGGAAACTCCCTGTCAGTAGTTGGATATGACTCAGTGATGGATCATCTGTGTCTGTTCATTGTATTAGTGTTGTCGCTGCACACTCCCAGCAGGTTGTCTGTGTAGAGCTGGGTGTTTGTTATCCTCATTTCTTCTGATCACAACCTGAAAATGCTTGCGGTGCCTCTGGCCAGCTATAAAACATCCAGGCGTGTCTTTTCCCTCAGCAGCAGTTGGCAAATTGCCTGTTTTCTGTAGGGTCAGTTTTGACACAGCAACATGAGATTTCCAATGTCATTATAAAGCAAAGGGTGTTTCTGTCTGAACTGTATGTTTGTGTTCATCGCCATGCTTTCATATCCAAGGCCATTACCAGTGAAACCATTTTGTATTGCTATAAGGTAACAAGATAAATGTGTTAACATGCATAAATAAATCATGTGTTCAAATATATGAATATGTAACCTATGTTATAATCTTGAAATCTCTAATGGGTTAGTTCACAGAAGTCCAAATTCGTTTAGGAGCTTGAGGGTGGTATGAATGACACACAGAGACAATGAAGTTTAAATGCAAAAGGAAAAAATGTATTAAAGGTTATATATTCAAATACCAATACATATTTAGAGAGGCTTGCAAAAGTACTTTGAACGTTTTGCCATCACAATCACAAAGATCACAACAAACAGGCAACTGTGAGGCAAAAGAAAAATCGTACATGATTTTGTTAGTTTAAAAAAACATAAAGAAGTATTTTGGCTCTGACTCTATGAAGCTTTGCACACCAAGACACTGTCTAGAGGCTGAAAGTTTTGTCCATTTCTCTTCACAAAACCACTCAAACACTTAGAGCTTAGATGGAGAGCATTGTGGACTATTGTGAAACCATTCCATTGTAGCTCCATTGACATTATATTCAGGGTAATTGACTTACTGGAATATAAATCAGCCAATAGTATTTTACCAGCAAGTGTTCTTTCAATTGACTGATTATTTCTCATCAATGTTTACACTCTTTCCTGTCCCTGCTGACGCAAAGCAGGCCCATAGCTTGATGCTGCCACCACCATCCATTTCTGACACTGGGGAGAGTGTACTGAGGCTGCAGTGGTTTTGTGCCATCAATAACCTTTTGCATTAGAGCCAAAAATGTGTTTCATCTGACCAAAGCACCTTCTTCTACAAAGTGCTAGTTATATGTACAGTAGCTGAAAACATGAAACAACACACAAATGTTATATTTGTATACTCTACTGTATACTGTATATGTAACATAATTCTCATTACTATTTAAGGAATTTATACATCTGTGTATATGCTGCTACGTTCCTGATGGAGACCCCCATATGGAATTACGAAACATTATTCAGTTGGCTGATAGGAACAAAGCAAATTTATTTGCATAGCAAAATTCATGCACAAGGCAACTCAAAGTGAAGTAAAAAGATCCCGTCTCAGAAGTGAAATGTCTTAAGTGACACATCTCCACAAATGAAGCAGGTGAACAGTTATTTCAGATTCACCTGGGACTAACTGAAGTCCAGCGTTTGGCGAGTAGTGTAGGTCATTTTCAGTAAGCATTAAACCTACAGAATGTGGTAAATATCTTTTTGAATCCCTCATTTGACTTTTAATTCATGTGTGACACACAGCAGGTCAATCTTTGCATATTCACAGAAAGTATCAATATTTTCCTCCGGTAAAGTGGCCTGAGCCCACATGAGGCCTGAGCCCTGTCTAATTACAGCAACACAGCTGAGAGGCTTTCCCCCAATCTTACAGTTTCTTCTTCATTATTGTCTGACTGTTATTGAGACAGACACCCAGTGCTGCGTAAATGTCAGAGCTGTTTGTCATAAGTAAATTATTAATGATAACATGCTGAAAAGCCGTTTTCTTTCTCTTGCCACATACCAACATGTCAAATAGTAGAATGACAAAGATGCTTTTCCTTTGGGAATGAAAGAAATAATGCTTGCTTGTTTGTTGATACCTACAATCTAATTTATCTAAATACACCAATGATGACAACAATGTAATGACTTCTGTGTTCATTCACCCTTCCCTTTAAATTCTTGTTTGCGTTTTTAATAACTCGCTGCTTCAACTTGACATTAATGATGACCATCGATGGTATCATGAATTACCAGGGTGGAGGCTGTCGGCCGTGTCAGAGCTTGACTAAGAGCGGGTGTTTAATTCACTAATCAAGTGCCTTTTGTTTAAAATTACAATACGATGCAATTTATGGAATTATAGCCAGAAAAATGGAAGGTACAAAACATGGTCTCCGATATCCCCAGCCTTCCTCAGGACCTGGCAGAAGTACTCTCTGGAGTGTGAAGACCCTGCTAACTGAATAGTGCTGGACAAACCCTCTCAGAAAGCATAGATCTTCTGCCCCAATCTCTTTGCACCAGTTGATTCTCCCCTGCCTCTGTCTTCAGTTGTTCAACACACAAAGTTAAAGTTCAGATGAAATTGAACGGTCTAAAGTTAGGGTACACTATTGTCTTTCTTCGTCTAATACCTCTTGGGCAACTTGTCAAGAGCAGTGGTCTGGGGCATCTCCAGTTGTTGATATTGGGTATTCAGGATTGTTGTGGGTTCATTGGGGAACCATAGAGGTCGGTGAAAACCAGAGAAAAAACATAATCACCCCACAAAGAAAGGCCCATTTTGGACAGGGGATCGAAGCCACAACCTTGCCGTACGGTAATCAGGCACGGTTTTTGTAACCCGGAAATATATGACCAGTGACATCATGTAACTGGTAGTGTAATAAAATCCATCCAACTTTTCAGATACACCTGCCATATC